GCAGAAGTGTTTTCTCATGTGGCACAGTAATAAAGACTGCTGTTGTAAAGATATCTGAATTTTATTGGGGGATTGTACCCTGCAGAGCAGCATTCTTGATGTTAAAAAAAATGGTTTATATGGTGAAAAGGAAAGTGACTAGTTGAGGTGCCTGTAAAAATCCAAACCCTGATCAAGCATATCCATTTCTTTTCCTCCTGCTGAAGACACTCTCAACAGCACCCACTACTTGGGTGTTCACTAATTCTTCCATGATAAAGGAAACCATTCTAGGACTGCTCCAGTTAAAGCATCATTCTAGTTGATGCATTAACTTGGAGTCCTGTATTGAGCAGGGATTGTGCCCAATGCCCTCAATGGGCCTTCCAGCTCTAGTATCCTATTGTTCTAAGAACTTGTGTGAAGTTGTCAGTGTTATAATAAGGCATTTGGTGCCATAAGATATAAAACTGACATTCATTGCTGTCTTGTGCTTCTCTTTTTCTTCCTTTTTCCCTCTTCATCTTTTAAAAATATCCCTCACTCGAATTATAGTTGAAATGATGTCCCTCTTGTGAATTTTGACTAGAATCAGATTAGAATTCTGTGTTAGCACTGTCTAATACCCAGGTATTTCTGTGCCTCTGTGTGATCCAAACATCACAGACCAGGACTGTATACAACAGAGCATATACATACACACACCAAAAAAACGGGTATGTTATATCACCGTATTAGCTGTGTAAATTAAAGTTCACATACCACTGTGCTTCGTACAATCCTCTGGAAAAATTTCTGCAGATGTCCATGAGGTCATAGGGAAGACTTGGGTCTGCAGCTTTACTGCACTACCTTCGTTTCCCTACTTTGGTTCTGTCACTAGCCTGTCCCAAGATATTACATGCCTGAGGTGGAACACAGGACCCTCTTCCACTTCTAGGTGCACAGTGCTTAAAGCAGGTCTAATTATTTTACAGAAACATCCTTTCTGCTTTCTGTTGGCAAAAATACATTAAATAATTATTTATTTGCTGTCTTTTCATGACACCCAAAGGGAGCTGCCTGAGGTGACCGCCTCGGTCTGCCCACATGGAAGTCCCAGTAAACTGCTCCCTCTCCTCAGCTTCTCCTGGATGTGCTGACTTGTGACAGAGGTTGGGACTGTAGGGTGAAGGACTAGGGGGAGTCACTCCAGCATCGTTCATCAGGTATGAGTGGCTTAGACAAAGACAATGCCAGATGCCTTGTCAAAGCCTCTTTTCATGTGCAGAAAAAAACTGGATGCAGCACTGGACTCTTGGGCAGTCAGAGCCACTTCAGTTCTCTGCCCCTGCAAAGGCTGAAAGTGACACAAAGAACTAAACTGCACCAAGAGCAACTTGTTATTTAGCTGAGTGGGGAGTAAAACTGAGGAAGCTGAAGACGTTCAGGCTCCATGTGGCTTTGCCATAGGTTGGGGGCCACAGCAGCAGCTGAATGGAGCAGAAGTTACCTAGGCTAGTCACTGAGATTCCTAAATAAGGATGGGCACATTCGGAAACACCTGTTTGTTCTGTCTGGCTCCTCAGCTTCCTCTAGTAAGTTGAAAATTTTCTCGCCTGCCCCCTCATGGCAGGATTTTCCATATGTTCTTATTTCTTCTCATATTTGTCACATTTTTGTTTAGGAAGGAATGTGTCCGTGGTTCTCTCTTCCCCACTAAGTTATTAATAATGGCATATTAATATTTGATCTATAAATGGAAGAAGTCATGGCTAAATCCAGTTGCCTAGCAAAGCATCTGTGTGGAGATGAATAAAAGAAATTATCTTTTTTATTCCCAAGAAAAGGATTGAGCACCAAATCTGTGCTGGCTAAGCAGTTTGTAGTAGAAGTACTCCTGTTCAATTTCCAAACTCCATGGAGCAAGAAGTGCAGTACCAGAGACCCAATATTATCTTCTATTTTCTAGCAAGGATTGAATTATCATCTATGTTGTGGTGCCTTTTGCACTGGAGTTGTTTTCATAGCTGACTTATGGCAGTTCCCTGATTATATTATCTGTGTGGGGACTAACTGTGATCAACATAAGACATGACAGTTTTTGAAATTCAGAAGAAAATAAGCCCTAACAGAAATTGTCCATTCTTTATTGTAGTTTCTGGGTAGAAAGATAAGGTTTGAAAGAGATGTTACCACACCTGAGAGTGTATGAACACTTTCTTAAAGGTAAAGCAGTGAGAAAAGTGAAAAACACCTTCTCAAGCAGCTGACCCAATCCTGCTTTACAGCTGACTCAATCCTTTAAGTAATTCCTGTTTTGTTGTTGCTTTATTTCTGTCAGAACATACACTGTGAGAACCCACCTGAAATGTAGTATCTTCAATCTGCCAAAAATAATTGTCAGAATTTTAGCCTTCATACATACTGGTTTGCTTATATGCTGAGGTTCTCTATCACCCTTCAACTTTAATTGCAACCCTACAACCTACGCCTGTTTACCCAGAAAGAAGATCCTTTGGCTGGGTACACACATTGGCTGTGTTTGACAGATGCAATCACAAGTCAAGCTCAGCTTACCATGGCTACTGAACACTCTGCTGCACAAGCAGGGCTCATACCCTGAAATGTGGCAAAAAGGATGAGGAAGCTGACCAGGCACTCAGGAGCAAAACTCAAATAAAATCAGCATGCTAATACTGTGGAAAGTACCAGCACCATTCAGCTGATTCCCCTTGCTCATTCCTCTCTTCTTGCACCTGCTTGCAAGAAAGGCATTCCCAACCCAGTGCCCACCCAAGCAGCTTTCTCACAAGCAGCAGCAATGAGAGGGAGGTTGCTCTTGCCTCCCATTTCCCACTAGTGTTTGTCTAAATTCCAGATAAGTGTATTTGGCTGGGGTGGACATTTAGGGAATTTAGCCTGAGCTAAAAGTTCTAAAGTGCCAAACATTCTTTAAAAGCTGCAAAATATAATTTGCTTAGGTACGCAAATCGCTCTGAATATTGTTAAATGGGGCCTGGATCAAATGTAATAACAATTCTGGCCCACTTTGCCTATAATTTTCCAAATCGAATTTAAAATGTTGTTTTTGACCTATGAAGATTTACATAGCTCTGGAATGCAGTATCGGAAATAGCATTTCTCCAAATATCTACCCATACACTACAAGCAACATCAAAGGACCTCTTCCAGGTCCCTCTTCTGAGGAAGGTTCAGAGGATAGTAACAGCAAGGGACTTCTCATTGATTTCCCAATTGTGGAATGATATTCCCAATAACTCCTTCATGGATCACTGCTTTGTCGTGGCGAAGGGGCTTGCGTAGCTCAATGAAGCTATGAGTTATGCCGTGCAGGGCCATCCAAGATGGACAGGTCATAGCAGAGAGCTCTGACAAAATGTGATCCACTGGAGAAGGAAATGGCAACCCACTCCAGTATCTTTGCCATGAAAACTGCATGGACAGTACCAAAAGGCAAAAAGATATGACGTCGGAAGATGAGCCCCTCAGGTCGGAAGGTGTCCAATATGCTACTGGGGAAGAACGGAGGGCTAGTACTAGTAGCGCCAGAAAGAATGAAGTGACTGGATCAAAGCCGAAAGGACACTCACGTTACAGATGTATCTGGTGGTGAAAGGAGAACCCGATGCTGCAAAGATCTATACTCCATAGGAACCTGGAATGTAAGATCCATGAATCAAGGCAAGCTGGATGTGGTCAAACAAGAAATGACAAGACTGAACATCGACATCTTAGGAATCAGTGAACTAAAATGGACAGGAATGGGTGAATTTAATTCAGATGACCATCGGGTATACTACTGCGGGCAAGAATCCCTCAGAAGAAATGGAGTAGCCTTCATAATCAATAAAAGAGCAGGAAAAGCAGTACTGGGATACAACCTCCAAAAT